AGAATCCTCAAGCTACTAGCACAACTCCTTCACCCCATTGGCATAGACTTTTTAGCTTCTACTGCTGACCTTTGGGTCTTCCCAACGCAGATCCATAAAACAGACGGTGTGAGTCCTTCTCATGGGCTTTAGACCTCCAGCTGGACTCAGGGGAGGCATTGTCATGGGCTCTAGGTTTTCATCTGGACTCACGTAGGACATTGCTGTGGGATCCAAGCCCTTGGCTATATATTCTGGGTCTTTAGTGTTGTAGTGTTGTGGAAAGATTTCCTCCACTTTCTTGTGTTTAACTCTGGGTGATCATCATAAAATAATATTATGAATTTTATGTCTTGATTGAAATTGTTCTCCTCACAACCTGACTACAACATATATCAAAAAGAAGCAGATATTGACATAAGATGTAATAATGGCTAACAAGTGTGTATTAAGTGGTACTGTTTATTATTATTATTATTGGGGTTTTTTTTTTTTGTCTTTTTTTCCTTTTCTTTTTATCGGTACTGGGGATCAAACTTACAACTGCCTGCTTGCAAGGAAGGCGCTTATGCCGCTGAGCTAAATCCCCAGCCCTGGTACTGTTTATTATTAAAAGCTTTGTAGGCAGGACCTCAGTTAATCCTCTCAATGACATCATGACTTAGTTTCTATTATATTCTCTGTCTAGTGATGGGGGGATAGCAGCGGTCAGGCAATTCTCTAGGGAGGCCACACTGGGCTCTAGGTCAGTACCTTGATCTCCCTGATGGGCATGGAATTGAAATCAACCCTTTAGCTCTAAGGGCTCTGTGTGGTGCAAGAAAGCATTTTTTGAGTTGGGCCTTGAAGGATGTTTAGGAGTTTGCCTCTCACCACTTGGTATAGTGTAATGCAGAAGAGCACAGTGTTGGGTTTGCTATCTTCCTGAGTGACTTGTGTAAGTTCTTCTTTACCCTAAGTTTCTTTATTTGTAAAATGAGGACAAGGAAAACTAGGCTTGTAATACACCATGACGAATGAACAGGATGGGCTATGAAAGCCCTGAATTGGCTGCTACCACGCAGTAGCAGCAGTGTAGGAGCTCATGAGGGCGGAAGGAGCGGGCAGGGCACTTGCACTCTCCCAGGGGCTGACATAGATTACTGCTGATCCTGTTAAGCAGGCTCTCATTTTTTCTTTCTTTTCTTTCTTTTTTTTGGGGGGGGCGGTACTGGGATACTGGGGATCGAACTCACGACCTCGCACTTACCAGGCAAGCACGCAATATTTTTTTAAAAAATTTTTCTTTTTTCCTCTTTAAAAGAAAATGGATTTGAGAAAAAAAAGGAAAAAAAAAAAAAAGGCACTCATTGTAGACCCACTTTACAGATGCAAAACTGAAGCCCAGTTATCCTAACCTGGTAAATGACAGAGGCAGGATTAGAACCCAGGCAGTTTGGCTCCAGAGTCCACAGGCTGAGGTCCCCTGGTCTTCTGCTGCGACTCAGATGTGACAGTCTGTGTCCAGCACCTAGCTCAGAAGGAGGAGGAGCAGCGTGCTCCCTCAGGAAAACCTGACCTTCTGTAAAGTGGTTATCATAATAGGAGAGAACTGTTCCATGGGTACAGGAGACCACAGCATAAATGGGCACAATCATTCATTCTGTAATTTTGTTTCTGTTTTTATTTTGTTTTTTGAGACAGGGTTCCACTCTGCAGTTCAGGCTGACCTTGAATTCACTCTAACACCAGCTGGCCTCCAATTTGCAATGATCCTCTTGCCTCAGCCTCCCCAGTACTGGAATTATAAGCATTGATCACTATGTCTGGTCTTCATTTCATAAGTTTTATGGATGAGCTGTTTTATAAGCCAGGAAAATCACTATAAACAAAAACTGGCAAAAATCTTTACTCTAAAGAAGCATATTTATGTGTTGACGGGATTTACAATAGACGAGGAGACCAATAATTAAAATAAGCATTACAGGAGAGAAATGAAGTGGAAGAGCAGTGAGACATAGCTTGCAGGGTTGCCTAGGGTGGCACTGGGGGACAGCTCTCTGAGAAGGTGATAAACAGCAAAGATTTGAAGAAGGCTAGAGAGAGTGAGTTGTGGAAATTCTGGAAGAAAGATGGTACAGGGAGGGCTCTTAGCAAGTGCAAAGGCCCTGAGGCAACAGGAATAGCAAGGAGGCAGTTGGCTGGGGTGGAGAACAGTAGCGATGAGGTCAGAGGGGTGTGTGGAGAAGAACACATCTCCACCCATCTTTAAAACTTTCTTTGTGGATTATAAAAACAAACACAGGCACGGGATGCAAAATAGGCTTGCTTTTCAAAGGGGGAAGGAGACTTGAATGAGATGTACTGTGCAGCCTCTCTGCATAAACATCTACAATCTCCCCGCCCCCAGCCTTCTATCCCCATCCATGTCAGCCAGTAGGGTGGCATGGAACCTGAGGTGGGACTGTGACCAGCTTTCCAAGTACAGGTTCAGGTCTGAGCTCCTGCCAGGGGGCTTCCTGGTGGGCAGGGGGAGACCTAGAGCTCACACTCCCTCAGGGCTTTGCGAGGAGAGGGCCGCAGTTTCCTCCTAGCTGACAGCTGTGTTTAGTCAAGGAAGCCCAAGGCATCCTGCCCTGCTTCTCTTTCGAGGTCCAGGTTATCTCCACCATGTCCTGGTGCGGTCAGCCTGCAGGGTACTACTGACTGACCCCGACTGGTCTCATGAGCCCGCATTCACCTCGGGAGAACAGGAAGCCCTGCCTCAGGCCAGGCTGGGACTTGAGGTTCTCTGGGATCCTTGGGTTGGTTTCAGCTTGGAATCACCATTTTGGTTCCTTTTAAGGCAAGGCAGAGGAGGCAGGCTGAAAGAGAACTTTAGCTCATGATCCTGTGAACAATAAACACTGAGTTCAGGTCAGAGTCCAGCTGGTCACCTGTTTTCATTTGTCCTGACCTAAGCAGTGGACTCCTGGCATTTATTTCTTTTCAGCTAACAAGCTGGTCAAGAGGGAGTTGGATATGAAGCCATGCTAGCTTGCAGGGTTTGGGGACAGCCAAGGGCCACGGCAGACAGCGGCCATCACTGGCCACACAGGACACACAAGCCTGCACATAACCAGCCTCCTTCTGGATAATTGAAAGTGAGGCTGAAGTTTTCAGGGACGTTGTTATTATTTATTTATTTTGAATTTTTTTTATAAAGTAAAGTTTGTTGAAAAGTAGCTGTACTTCTACTTCATGGTGACAAACAAAAACAAAACAAAGATGTGAATTTAAATAGTCTGCTCCAGAGTTGTTTTTTTTTTTCTTTCTGTACTAAGGCTAAATCCAGGACCTTTGTACTGAGCTACATCCTCAGCCCTTCTTTATTTTTAATTTTGAGACAGGATCTAGCTAAATTGTTAAAGTGCCAGCTTGCCCAGGCTGGTCTCAAATTTGTGATCCTCCTGTCTCAGCCTCTCAGAGTGCTGAGATTACAGGGACGCACAAAGACGCCTGGCTGCAGAGCATGCATTTCTAATCTCTGTGGTACACAGTCCTTATAAGAAACTGTGAACAACTTGCTGGGGCAGAGGTGTCTTGTAGGTTTCATTGTATTTTCCTGCATTCATTCAATCTTTTCAGACACTCTTGATGCTGGGTGTGGTGGGACACACCTGTAATCGCAGCACTTGGGAGGCTGAGGCAGGAGGATTGCTGCTAATTTGATACAAGACTGAGTTACATAAGTGAGTTCAATGCCAGCCTGGATTACATAGTGAGACTCTGTCTCAAAAAAAAAGAAAAATCCTGATTGAAACACTCAGACATGTGCTATGCATTAGTGACACGGAGATCACCCCAGTTCCTCCTTGGCCCTCCCGGAACTCAGAAATTAACCAAACCTAGCAAACAAGGTCACCTCCTTTGAAATGCTTATTTTTCTTCTTCTGCTTTCATTTTTCCTGCCAGTCAGCTGCTAAAGTCAGATGAGGGCACAAGTTTCTGAAGGCGACATTTGCCCCAGGCATCAACAACAGCAACCAAAGAAGCCAGATGCCTGCCACCAGCCTGGTCCAACCATTCCCACACCTGCCCTCAAGGACTTCAGAGCTTGGCCAGCTTCTTCTGTTTTGAGGTCCGCATCCTTCAGAATCATCTGGGTTCAGTTTAAAATGTGAGTTTCTTTCTTCCCCAGAGAATCTATTAGAGCAAGTTGGTGTGCAGCCACCTCCTTCAACTCCAATGGACACTCATTTGCCAGGTGAACGGGAAACAATCTGTCTAGGAAGAAAAACACCCAGCACAGAGGGGCCTGAGTAGGCTTCAAGGCAACGGCGTCAGTTTCAGCTTAAGCTCCGGGGTGGGGAGAGGGAGCCTGTTCCGCCCCTTCTACCCAGGGCCTAGCTCAGAGCCTGGAAAGTAGGGCCTCATAAATATTTGCGAATACCGGTAGCTGCCAATAGAGAAGTGTCTGAGTCAAAAGAGGAAAAACGAAGTCAGAGGAAGAAGAAAAAAAGTAATGTATTTCAAAGGAGAAGATGAACACTTTCGGGAAAGTTTTTCTGGAAAAGTCAGCCCCGCCTAACAGGGGGCGTTGGGGAGGTGGCCACTGCGGGAAAGGGCGATGAGTCCCGCGGCCGCAGCGGGGGAGAGGGCAGCAGGCGCCTCCTCGCCTCCCCAAGCTGGCCGAGGCATGAGGTCACCTGGCATCCTACCAGCAGCAGCTGCGGAGGACGCGCCGGCGCTGCGGAGGGAGGCGGTGTCAGGCGCCGGACCCCGGGGAATGGGGAATTTCCCTCCCGCTCCCTCCGGAGGGAGGCTGGGTGGAAGGAGTTAGAGCTCCGCGCAGCCCACCAAAGGCCACACCCCTGGCTAGGCCACGCCCCTCCTGGTCTCGGGTCTCCTGAGTGGTCCCTCTCCCACCCCGCTCTAAGCCCCGCCCCCTCGAACCGCCACGGCAGTTTCCCCTGGAGAGTCCCGAGGCGCCGGGTCTCGGCCCCGCCTCCAGTCGAAGCCCCGCCCCTGGCCCCGCCCCGCAGTTTGAAGCGGCACGGGCTGCCGCCGCCTCAGAGTCGCGCGCGGGGCGTGGAGCGGTACTGAGGAGTCGAGGCCGCGGCCAGCTCGACGTCGGGACTGTCCAGCGAACGCAGCGCGGTGAGCGGGCAGCTAGAGCAGCCCCGGAGCTGAAGTAGCAGTCGCGCCGCTGTCCTCGGAGCCCAACTGAGCCGGCCATGGCGTTGTCGATGCCGCTGAACGGGCTGAAGGAGGAGGACAAAGAACCCCTCATCGAGCTCTTCGTCAAGGTGCGCTCTCGCCCTCCGTCGCGTCCCGCCGAGTCCCCGGCGGCCGCTGGGCCTAGCGGGGCGCTGTCCGGGGGCGCCCCCCAAGCGTCACACAGGGCGCCCACCAAGGGCGGTGAGGAGCGCGGCGCGTCGGGCCATTGTCTCGGAGCCACCGCGCCTTCCCGCCTCTCTGGGCAGGGCGAGGGGTCCGGGGCACCCGGGCGGCGGCGGGCATCTGCGGAGCGCGGGCTCGGGCGGACGCCGGGGGCAGCGCCCGTGGGCTGAGACGAGTCTGCCCCGCCCGTCCCGGGCCGCCCCACCCTCGGCCGTCCGCGTGCGCCCGCAGCCCCAGCACGGCGTCGGAGGTGGCACCGAACTTCTTAGGGCGCTCGTGGAAGGAGCACTGAGCCCAGCGCCTCTGAAACCGAAACTTTTTAATTTTCGGTGCAGTCGGTAGAAAAGTACAAAAGGGCAGCCAGCTGCTCCTGGGGGTCGGGAAAAGACCGAGATTCCCAACTAGGATTTTCCTGTCTTAGGTATTTTACCACCATCTGGTTTCTTGTTTCTCTCTAGCGCGGAGTGTTTCATATGATGCAACGTTTTTGGCTGCTTCCCTCGGTGTTGCTGTCTCGTCAAGGATTGTGCCCTTTTGTTTTGAAAGAATAAGAGAATGAGAAAATTCATAATTTGATTGGGTTGCTCCCACCCCTTTACCTCTTATATCCTGGAAGTACTTTGTCTGCTTATAAATACTGTGCGCGTCCCTTTGCTTGTTTTTTAGTTTAGCAAAGGAGAGTAAAAGTATAAACGTCTGGATCCAGTTGCTTTTCTTAAAACTTGAAAATCTTGGAGATTCTCCCAGCCACTTGAGCAGCCAGGCTCGTTTAGAGCTAGACAACTCACTGAGTTGACCGAATTTTTTGTTTTTTAAACTTGAGGTTTTTTGAAGAAAGGAAGAGTACTTTTAAGAAATGAAGAGGGGAAATGATCAGCGGATGATCAAAATAACATTTTAGGATTTTCTTTCAATTTTCAGTTTTAGAAACGTTTTGATCCAGGGTATTGAAACAGCAAAAGGGTGTAAAACTCTCAGAATATCAGAGTCTGTTAGTTTGGTGACAGAAGTAGTACTTTAAGATGCACTGGAACGAGAGAGAGAAAGGAGGGGGAGTGGAACATTGCTTGGAGAAGGGAAAAGAGTGGGTCAAAGATCAGTTTAAATTTAAAGGAGAAAAACCCAGCTTTTTGGCGTTGGGTAGGGTAATGCTTGTAATCCCAGCACTAGGGACGCCAAACCAGGTCGACTGCAAGTCTGAGGTCAGCCTGAGATACATTGTGAGATCATGTCTAGGAATAAAAAGGTTTCTATACCCTCAAAAAAGAAAAAAAAGATAGCTGCTAATCTAAAAAACAGGATACTTGGGTGAACATTTAGCCTGGCGTGCTCATGCACGCCTGTAGGCCTGAAATCCTAGCACTCAGGAGGCTGAAGCGGGAGGATCACCGAGTTCAAGGCCAGTCTGAACTGCCTACCTTGTCTCAAAAAAAAAAAAAAAAAAAAAAGGTTATGGCTTTTTAAATTCAGGGTTGTGCTGGAGGTCTTAGCCAATACAGTAAGATAAGAAAAATGAAGTATAGGAATCAGAAAGGGTTTGAGGGTGTTGTAACTCAGTTTAGCACAATCTGGACCCTGTGTTTGTCACTCAGCCCTGCTGGGAGGTAGGGAGGATGAGAAAGGAAGAGATCATTGCTTAATGCTGTAGGCACTGTTATTTAATCCTTCAGGTCCAAAGGGCATAGATGTGTAGTACATTGTTTCTTAAACTTGAGTGACTTGCATACCTTTCCAATTTTCCATGTTCGTGTTGCACACTACCTGAAGTAATTTTATCACTTTCTCACTGATTTTGGAGGCAAAAACCAGGATTCTAGTTGCAGCTCTGTGCTATTGGTTGGGTTACCCTGGGCAATTTGTTTTCCCTTTCCAAGTTATATTTTTGTCATTTGGGAAGTGAGAAGTGAAATGGGTATAAAGCCTGTGATTCAACATAAGCAAACTTTGTACTGATGTAAGCCAGGTTGTTTCAAAGGAAAAAAGAAAGAAAAGGTAAAGTGTGTGTTAAAGGATTCACAATTTATTCCCCTACCCTATGTGGGAAATACAAATGTGGACTGGGTGTGTTGGCACACTTCTGTAATCCCAGCATTCTGGGAGACTGATGCAGGAAGATTGCAAGTTTGAGTCCAGCCTGTGTAATTGAGCAATTTTGCAAGACTTTGTCTCAAAATTAAAAATTAAAAAATAAAAAAGGTCAAGTGTTGCAGCCCTGGGTTCCATTTCCAGTAGCTGTGCCCTCCCAAAAAAGAAATGCAAATGAGGGGGAAATGCCCTTGCATACAGGCAACAGAAGCTGGTTCTTCTGAGTGATGTGTTAAACAGCATTAGCTACCTGCCAAGAAGCAGTCGAGTTTGTAGCAAAAAACATTTTCAACAGAAAACACAGACAGACAGACACACACACACACACACACACACACACACACACACACACACACTTTATCATATGTTGAAAGCATATGATACTGTTTAGCAAAAAACTGGTATTTATACTTGAAGCAGTCAAGGGATGTAATGGGATATTGAGCATAGTTTTCTAGGATGAGCAAGCGAGAGTGGGCTCAACTACATTGTCTTCCTCATGTATTTTCAGAATTGTCTGCTCATGAGACCAGCAACTCTTCATTACCTGTCTTACAGCAGTTCCCAAATTTTTTTAAACTCCAACACCTAGAGCATCAGTGGCAAAACTACGCCATTGGTGCAGCAGTGGGCTATTTGTATCAATTGAAAGCTCTAAAAGGTTCACTATCACTGACTATCTAGAAGACAGAAACTCTCTCAAGTAATTTTTCTTAATCATTTAATTTTTGAGATGGAATCTTGCTGTGCTGTCCAGGCTGACCTCACACTCCAGTGATCTTCCTGCCTCAGCCTTCCCAGTAGCTAGGACCATAGTGCCTGGCTTAACCCTCCCAGTGGTCTAAGAAGCACTCATCCTCAACAGTGGTGTTTTCACCACCCTGAGGAATCTAGTTACTACATATCTTTACCAAACAGGGTAAAGTTGAGAGCCTTTAATAAAGGTGTAAGTCCCCTTATATAATCTTACCACTTTCTGAGTTTCTCGTCCAGTTTTTCCATTTACTAATCATATATTCCAGGACATATTAAACTTCTCCATGCCACATCTAAATAATAGGGATATTTAGTAAGAGACCAATGTTATTTATTTATTCGAGTTTCTAGAGACTGGCACTTGCTGTGTAGCCCAGGTTGCCCTGGAACTCACGGCAATCCTCCTGCCTCAGCTTCCTGAGCACTGGGATTACAGGTGTGCACTGGCACACCTGGGTTTAAGAGACCAATTTTAGGGAAATAAATTGATAAATGTAATACAAGTGATCTTAAAACTGTGTCATACATAGTAAGCAAATTTATGCAATTTTTTTTGAAGCAAGGTCTTAACCATGTGGTACAGGCTGGCCTTGAACTCACTCTCAGTATGTAATCTAGGATAGCCTCAAACTCACAGCAGTCTTTCTGCCTCAGTCTTACAAGTGCTGGGATTACAGACATATGCCACCATGCCTGCTAATGTGTGTCATTTTTGTATATAAATATTTATAGCAGACCTCCCCTGCTACACAGTAAGTTCTTTGAGAGTAGGGTCTGTGAGGGAGATTGCTTCTTCCGCCTTTCAGCATTTTGTGGACTGTGCGTGTGTCTGCTGTTCTCTGGAATGAAAGCCATTTCCTTTTTTTTTTTTTGTTCGTGGAGACCTAACAGTGCAACTTTTGACATATGCCAAGGAAATGATTTGGGTTAAATATAAAACTCTGAGAGTGACCTAGAGTGGGAAAGAGATAGGAACCCAGGCAGCTGAGCACTGTGAAATCTAATGCAATATGAAAGTGATAGGAAAGAGGTGCTTGGGAGGACCTGACTTGCTGACAGCCAAGTTGCTTTGAAGGATGCTTATTGAGGTGCCTAGAAGTCAGTAAGAGGATGATGAGCAAGACTTTCTCACTTCCTGCTTCACTAGAACTGTGGAGCCCAGCATCCTGGTATCTCCTGATAGGGAATTAATTAGTCTATAAAAGGGAAATTCTATAGGCAGGATGGGAAGTGTGATTAAATCAGAAGCTAAGATTTTTTGATCAAGTGGGAAAGTAAGGTGGGATGGGTTTGCTCCTTTTAGGGGCCCTTATAGAGAATGGAAAGGGTCTTTCTGAAGAAAAACAGCTCATGACTACAAACCATCCAAGTATGACTTAATAGAAATCTAAATTTAGGGCATTTGTTTGTGACTTGTGAAATGTCTTTTTTGAGACTTGAGTTTTATTCGTCAATGGTCAATACCAACTACTGGTATAAGGAATATCAATTGCCTTATTTGGTTTCAGTTTTTTTCTTATTTAAAATATAAAAGCAAGAACTGGGCAGGGTGGCACATTGCTGTAATCCCAGGTACCAGGGAAGTTAGGCTGAGGCAGTAGGATCATGAGTTTGAGACAGCTTGGGGAGTTTAATGAGACCTTGTCATAAAAAAAATAAAAAGGTCTGGAGCTATAGTTCAGTGGTAGAGCGCTTGCCTAGCATATTCAGGGCCCTGGGTTTAATTGTTTAGTATGCCTCTCCCAGTATATATATATATAAGGAAACTATTAGACTAATTATAAGTTTATGAAAGTGATAACCTAGTATAGATAAATAGGACTGTATTTGAAAATTTTGTCAATGATAGACTAGCAATAGCTTAAATTTGAACGTTTTGAATAAGTACTGACCTCAGTTCATCACACATACTTTGTTTCTAAACTTCTTTTCATAGGAATATGATTTTTCAGGGTAGGGATATAGTTCAGTGTCTACCTGGAAAGAGTGAAGTCTTGAGTGTGAGTCTCAGTTTCAAAAAAGGAATGTATTTTTTCTTAAACTGAAAATTGAAATATAGTTTATA